ATATCCATACCTCTAATGACCCACTAAGGTGGGGTGGGATGCAAGCTTTCACTTCATCGCTCGCATAAGGTATCCACTGAAACTGAAATATAAATATACAATTCAAATAAATAAAATATTCTAATTATATCTAACATTTTAAATTAAAATATTAATAATTAAACAAATTTAAAAACATACCTCAGACCCAGCTTTCGTATCAATAAGTAAACGAATTTCCTCTAACCCAGTAGGTATACTTTTATGGTCCTTTCTTTTCATCGACCACCTATGAAATATAATATAAACTAAATATCACCCTATTTAATTGAAAATATTTAAATCAAAATTTAGTTCGAAAATTACCTCAACAATAAGGGGAATACGTATGGTTCATTCACGATCAGGCATAAGAAAGGCATGGGGAACCACGCCCATGATTGTAGAAGCAAAAGACATCCACCGATAGCAATTTTCTTATAATTCGTCGCCCGACACATTTCTCTAAAGAGAAATGCCAAAACTGCAGCGCCCCAACTATATCTTCCAGCTTCATCAAAATCGATCAGATGCCGCAACCACATACAATGCACCTGGTTGCGAGATTTGTCGGGCATCAATATTCCTCCAATTATTCGTAGAATATATGCCCGAGCACATGCCTTTGCTTGATCCTCTGAAGCATTTTCATTTAAAACCTCAAAATTAGCTTTCAACCAAGATAAAGCTATTCTACCTCCATTAAACTCTGGCGGAGCAGCTCCAAGATAATCAATGCACATTGATTGCCAATCACCATCCACCATACCACACATCATATTTCCGTCGACGGGAAGCCCCAGATGCATAGAGACATCCTCCAATGTAATTGTCGCCTCTCCACATGGAAGGTGAAAAGTGTGTGTCTCGGGCCTCCACCTCTCAATCAGTGCAGAAATTAGGACATGTTCGAGTTTGCAACCGCCTATAATTGTTGCAATATACCCGAACCCGGCAGAAGCCAAATATGGCAAAATACGTTCCGGTGTCGGTATACGTGGATTTTTAATAAAAGTCTCTAAAATACGATCAATATCCTAAATAATATACATTATAAAAATAAAAATTAATATAAATTCATAATAACTTTAAAATAAAAATAAATTTAAATATTAACATTAATTATAAAAAATTTACCATATCGCTAAAATGTCTGGAGATATGATCAATATCCAATCGCAACAGCATTTCGTTTTCCATTATAACTGTAGACAAAACAATATAATTAGCAAAAAAAAATTAATAATTCTAAATAAATAATAATTATATAAATATTATTTTAATAAAAAAATAATATTTACATAAATATATTAATATAAAAAATAATAACTATTTAAAAAATACTAACATAAAAATAAATTCTTACCACTAATAACAAATTTAAAACTCAAATAGTTGGAGAATTTGAGTTATATAAGAGAGGAGAATATGATTTTGGTGTGAAGAATGAGGGAGGGTTGAGGGGGTTTATATAGGGGAGGAGGAGGGGTAGTTAGGAAAAACGGATGGGGGCATTTATGGCATTTAATGGAAGGCGCGTCCCTGGGGATGCGCTTTCCACACGTGGCAGTCGAGTCAGTGAAGGCGCGTCCCCGGGGATACGCCTTCCACACGTGGCATCCAACTCAGCGAAAACACGGGTAAAGCGCGTCCCCGGGGACGCGCCTTTCCCAACTCAGCAGAAAGGGTGCTACTTCGGGAAATATTGGTCAAACGGTGTCAGAAAGGGAATATTAAAGAAAATTAGTGTCAGTTATGTCAAATAGCCGATTTTCCTACCATTTCCACTGTTGAGTGTCACTGTTTGATAGATGGATGCAGGTGAGGTGTCGGCAGCAACATCATAGAGCGGCGGCGGCAGTAGCAGCTAGGGTTAGGATTATAAAACCCTATTCATCTCGGGTCGGATCCTTTGCTGGGTCCTGGATTCGGGTCGTGTTCCAACTGGGTTCTGTTGGGTTGATGGTTGGGGCTGCTGGGTTTCTCTTTGTAATTGGGTCAGACCTTTGTTGGGCTTCAGGTTAAGCCTAGGTTGGGCCTCGTAATTTAGTGGCCTGCAAAATTTTGTACATTTGTATTAAAATAATAATAAAAATAATAGTAATAATAATAAAACAATAAAGTTAAATAAAAAAAACCTGGACAAAAAGGGTGTCTATAAGGAGGATGTTAAATGTTAAACTAGGGTGATGATAGGTTGGGATTGGAATCAATGATGTCTTAGGAACTGTGAATTTTTTTTGTCTGCTGGTCCGTTTAAGTTGGGATGTCTGAAGTTTTTGCAGCGTATTCTCTTATGCTGGTTCTTTCAATATGTCTTACTACAGCTTTTCTGCTGCAGGTTTTTTGATGACCTCCGACCTTATGGCATTGTCCAGTTTTGTTCCTTGCATTGCCATCCCCCTCATGGCTATCTTGTTGCTGCCAATGTACACACATTCTGCATATTGGCTTTGGAAGCAGGTTTATTCTTGTCTTCCATGGCCTTCAGGATTCCGAATACATTATATGAATACACATCTCTTAGCATAAATCTACAATCGCAGGATTCTATCTTTTAGCTAAGATAGAAGAAGCAATGGATAAAGTAATAAACAAATGGACCCATCATGTTGTAAGTGGGCACATCCGTAAGCACTTGTGCGCTGCCATGGTTCCTGTGTTTTTTGACACTTATGCTGGCGAAGAGGACGATTGAAACAAACAGGTAACCTTCTTCGTTTGTAGTAAAACGACGATTCTTAATCACTGCATTAAAGCCTTCATTGTCAACATCTCTTTGACCAAATCGTAATTTCGTATTCATTTTAAAATCTAGAATGGTATTTCAGATGCTTGCCATCAGATGTAATGTTTGGTAGATTTCTACCGAACTTCCAACTCGCACCAATTCTAATATTTTCTTGTCTAAATATCGACAACGAATAAGCCTTCCTTTGTAGTAAGAAAACCGAAACAGTCGGTTAAGTAATTCATTCTTGCTGGTAACTCTTTGCATCTTTCTATCATATGACACTTTTAGTTCTGGAATTTAATGAATTATTGTAAGAGAGTAGATGACGGGGTGCATGTAATCTAGCAGCAAGGGCAATGATGGTGTTAAATAAGTTGCGGTCATTGGGCTAAATGTGTGGATGTTAATAATGTCGGAGTAGCCAACGGTAACAGTGACATGTTGGTTGCAGCAGTGTTAGCAACGTATCGTGTTTAGAGGTTAATTTAGCGGGAATGCTTTTCGGTGATTAGCTTCTCTTAGTTTCCCCAAGCAGCTCGATCGAACTGCTAATTTAGTTTTTTCGAGAATCTGTTGTGATTGATAAGTCTGAAATGCATTACTCATGAGGGTCCTTACGTATGCAGGATAAGCCTAGTGAGGACATGGAAGGTTTCATGGACAGAGGTGAATGAGAATGGTTGCAATATGGAAAGTAGGGAGTATGCCTACACCAGTGTTCAGTCTGAGGATTCACATTCACGTTGAGCTGCAATTCTATTTTGTTTCTAACTACATTCATATTCTCATGTAACAAGAACAATATCCTGCTACAAACACTGCCATGTTTGTAAATACTTAATAGCCAAAAAACAGATATATTATTTTCTTAAGCGTTGATGGATTTCTTACACCTTTAACCCTTTTGTTTCTTCCATTTAGAGATTCAGTTCTGCGATTGAGACTTCAAAAAAAGGGCGTGTTTAAATAATGAAAACTAAGCGTTGATGGATTTCTTACACCTTTAACCCTTTTGTTTCTTCCAAGTTTTCATTATTTTTGTCTTTGTAGACCAAAAGGCAACTAACTACAAAGAAGACAACATATATATATACTTTCTACGTAAGCAGTAGAGCTACTTGCATGTGGTTTGTTGTCCTTCAAAGAGGATAGCCAAAGTCATGGTGAAATCAAATAATTCAACTCTCATTGAACGATTTAAGATTAGAAAAGATCACAATGAAAAGATGTACGGAATGTTGTTTGTAAGCTTTGATTGTTTCTTTCTGTTTTATTGTTGGAATTGTAATATTATGGAAGATTGAATGATGAGAATGCCTGCAATCTTTCATATTTGAAGAACTGAGATGATTGTCCTTCTGTAACCTTTTGCTTCTTCTGTTACTGACAAAGCTGGTTGGTTAAAAAAACATGAATAGCAATACAGGCATCTAGGGAAAATATAAAAGACCACTGACAGTGTTGGTTTGCAGCGACGTCTATGTTGCATGTGAATTTTTATTTTTTATTTTAAAAATCCGATCAAACATAAAATCATTTGATAATGAAAACAAATAAAAAGTCGGCTTTTTTTGGAAAATGTAACAAGAATAAGATAAATAAAATAACGTGCATTAAACTTGTTCAGGTCGAATTGGGGACTGATTTCGACCTCAATTTTGAGACGTCAAAATCAACTGGAAAAATCTTGGAAGTCGACAATCATCAATTTCTTTTCTCTAGCTCCAATATCGCCGCCAAAAACCGGAATAGCGATCAACCAACAACCCTTTTTGCGAGCTGAAGCACAGATCTCGCTCGTCTGCTGGTGTGATCTACAATGACAGCACCCGTTTAAGGTTGAGAGAACACCTTCTAGGTCGGATTGATGGGTGAGATGTTGTGGGGAGTCCACAAGATGGGCACCTAGGTATAGGAGAGACGCTTTTGTGGGGTGCGAGCGTACATGGTGAGGGAGTAGGCAGCTGAGAGGAGATGAGAAGCCATGGTTGCACCATTACGCCTATCCCAATCCAGCCTAAGCAGGTTTGGGACCAGAGATGGGCTTTGGGTACGGAGTTTCCATGGAGTTGAGTAGAGATTGAGCACCTAAACAAACAGCTGGGGATAACCAATTCTCTAATACTGGCTCGCACCACACGTCCAACTATCAGGAGATACGAGAAGTACGGTTTACCATAGGCAAAAGTAGGAATGCTAAACAAGTGAGGCAAAGGCACCAAACAAACCACTAAATCCAGCCAGAAAATCAAATAACAGACCATTTGTTTCTCATACAATTACTAACGTACGGTGTATAGTCCCACTTTGAGTCCATAAAAATGGTTGTGAAGGCCAAATCATTCGTGAAACTTGAAAGATGATTATTGTGCAAACATAAGCCAAAAAAATAGCATAAAGTATTTCAACATTCACATCCAGTTGACCTTGGTTGGCTGCTGCTTACAACGTCAATGGTGTCGGGCAAGTATCTACAGGAACAAAATATCCATCACAACATAAGAAAACAAGAAATTAAGTATTATTCACACAATACCAAAAAAAAGCAAAAGTAAAAAATGATTTCAGAATCCAAGCTTTTAACAACTTTTATTCTGCGACAATGGGACCTTGAAAATCAATATTTCAGGCAAATGTCCTTAATTCCTGGATGCCAAAAAAAATTCTCCCCATAATTTGAAATGCTAAAATGCTACAAAGAAAGATGATCGACTAAAGCATGAAATAACTAAAATCAAATACATTTGAAATAATAGTTGGTTCATTCAATTATCATATTGCAGTTCATTATGTAGCAACTAATTAGTGTGAGTACAGCTAAAGGTTTTTCTCAATATTGCATGTGAATGTTGTTAATTCTCAGATACCAAAATTGAAAATTCCCCTCATAATTTGAAATGATAAAATGCTACACAGTAAGATGATTGACTAATGCGTGAAATAAACTAAAATTGGATGCATTTGAAACGAATCAGTTCATTCAATTATCGTATTAAATTTCTCTATGTAGCAACAAATTAGTGTCAAGTACATATAAAGGTTTTTGCATGATTCAAAATTAAGAATTATTTGTTAACTGATTATGATTTGTTAACTTACATTTCTTCCTCTTCCCCACTCTTTAGGGCATTCTTTGCTATGCATTGGAATGCTTCTTCCACATTAACTCCCTCCTTGGCAGATGTCTCAAAATATGGGATATTTCCTTTTGAGGCACACCATGCTCGAGCCTTTTTCTCAGATACCTAAAGAATCCACAAGAAGCGGATAATTGTACCTTTGTAGAGAAGTGAGAGATGACATGTAATACTACTACAGAGGAAGAAAGAAGAATAAAAAATAAATATACATACTACTCTACTGTTTCCACCATCCACATCAATTTTGTTTCCCAAAACAACAAATGGGAAATTCTCTGGATCCGAAGGGCTTGCCTGCAAGAGGTTTCTCAAATTATCATTTCTCTATTTGATAAATCCTATAGAGCTGGTTTGCTGGTTTTAAACAGAATTCAGATTAAATGTACTTGAATAAGAAACTCTTCTCTCCAATTGTTAAGGTTTTCAAATGATTTCATCGAGTTGACATCATATACAAGAACACAGCAATCAGCACCGCGGTAGAAAGCAACACCTAGGCTCTGGAATCTTTCCTGACCAGCAGTATCCCAGATCTGGGAAACAAAATAATGTTGAAAAACCTTCTTAACGAAGATAAATTTGTGCAGTGATCATATCAACCAAAGTCCAATCAATACGCAATAAACCATAATTCCCAAGTCAGCCATAGCCCATCACAAATTTGCTTCTAGTCAATGCTACAACTAGAGAAAAAGTGATCATATCCGAGCTTTTTCCATGAATAAAAAAGAAAGTGCACTAGCACCTCCAAATTAGTGGAATCACATAGTAAAGTAAGATGCATTTGCAACAAATCATAGATGTTTTTAGTAAATCCAGGTTAAGCTCTATTCCACCATAGCTAAGCTTTAGTACAAGAGCTAGAGATAAGAATGAAGCCACTTCTTCATCATAAACACTAACCAGCACGAGAAATTAAGATCCCAAAAACCAAATGCAACAGCCGAAGCAAGCTCATCAAAATGTTAAAAAGAAATGCTTGTACTTGAGCTCAAGAAAAAAGATACTAACTTTATACAAAATCAGACATGTTTGTTCTCAGCATGAAATCTAACCTGTAAAGTGAATAGCCTATCCTCAAACTGCACTTCCTTTGTCAAGAAATCGGCTCCGATCGTTGCCTTATACTGATTGCTAAACTTCTTATTCACATATCTAAAAGCAAATTGTAAAGGCAAGCAAAAAAAAAAGTTCGAATCGATAACAACTACAATTAATTAATAACTACATACAAGTATACAACTTCAATGTCTTAGTAATCAATAAAATACAACTACAGGATACTGATTCATCAAAGACGTCTTCCCCACCCTGCAAATCACAGATCAATAACAATCACAAACATTGGATTGCATAGAAAACATACATACAAAAATTCTAAAAATTACAGGCCGAATTAACTAAGGCTGAACAACTTATGTATCCAGCAATTCCAATAGAAAGATGAGAGAGTAATAGGGGAAGCCTCAAGGAAAAGGAATTAACTAACCCGCTATCGCCGAGGATGATGACTTTCAAAAGGGTTCTACGGCGCGACGGCATCGTAAGGACACTAAGGATCTATATGATAAAGAAAAACGAAATGGGAAATTCAGTATATAGTGAGTGAGTTGCTGTTGGACTTTTTTGGTCCGACAGAGAATTCCGTAGGAAAATTGGGTGAAGTTTCCAGCGCTTTCCCCCTTCACAGTTTTTTTTAAAATAAAATTTTGGAAATTATATTTATTTTGGGTAAACTATACTAGTAACCACCCAACTATAGTCTTTTTTCATTTTGACCACTATTTTTGAATTTTTGTCAATCAAATCACTTAATTATTTAAATGTATTTGCCGTAATAGTTAACGGAAGTCCTGATGTGGCAACTAGAAAATTTGATATAATTACATATTTGGTTATTTTTACTTATATATTCTATTAATTTTGTCATAATTTTAATACGTTAAAATAAAATTAATCTTCAAATGGAATGGTGTCAAATATCACCATTCAATTTGATGATTACATTTATTTTATTTTAATTTATTAAATTAAAATAAAATTAATCTTCAAATGGAATGGTGCCATGTGTCACCATTCAATTTGATGATTATATTTATTTTATTTTAATTTAGTCCTAATTTTAATAAATTAAAATAAAATTAATCTTCAAATTGGATGGTGACCATTCAATTTGATTATTACATTTATTTTCTTTTAATTAATTAATTTAATTTTAATTTAATTTATGTGTCACCCCTAGTGAAAGATAAATAAATCAAATAGAGGTGGCCATGGGAATCGATCCAGGGTCTCCTCGGTGATATGAAGAAAAACTAACCAGTAGAGTAGCCAATTTACTTGGATCAAAGAATACTATATAACATATATATCTTATATCATAGGCCAAAGCTAAATGTTTGACCCAAGCTAACATTTAAAAAAAAATTATTTTTATCTTAACTTCATATATTAAATTTAGAAAAAATAACCTCATTGACCAAAAATGCCTTATAATATACGATTTTAACCAACTTTTTTTGGATTTGCCAAAATAACCAACTAAATCGCAATGCGATCGATAATTCGCAACGCGATCTCCGGTATCGCAAATCAGTTTCCAGATTCGCAACGCGAACTTCAACTATCGCAATGCGAACTTGGACTATCGCAATGCGAACTTGGACTATCGCAATGCGATAGTCGACTATCACAATGCGAATATGTAAATCGCAATGCGATAGTCGAAGTTCGCATTGCGATAGTCCAAGTTCGCATTGCGATTTACATATTCGCATTGCGATAGTCCATTGCGATAGTCCAAGTTCGCATTGCGATTTACATATTCGCATTGCGATAGTCCATTGCGATAGTCCAAGTTCGCATTGCGATTTATTCCAAATTCGTTACGATAGTCCAAAATCGCAACAACTGGTGGTATTGCATTTGTTTCTTAAGAATTTTCTCTAAAAAGATAGTATTCGCGCGGACGTGTCGAAGACACGTATTACCACAACCACGACCACGACCACGATCACGACCCGACCCGACCCGAGACGAGACGAGACGGGCGGCGGCGGCGCGCGAGAGACCCCCTTGTTCTCTATCACTCAACAAGAAAGTGGGAAAGCCAAGCCTTAACTATCATTCCCAATAGTGTTTCCAATACTATGTGGGATTGAGCATTACCAACACTTGTTTCCAATACAATGTGATTATTCAGGAAACAATTAACAATCATGCACCTTAAAACAACTGAATCAGCAACCAATTGCATTAGGATTATACGATTAAATATGTCATAATTAAAAGTCAATCTACAATCAATCGCGATTATTGCAATTTTAAGCAAAACATTCAAAAATAATATCACTATTTAAGGCTCAATCCCACATAGTATTGGGAATAAGTGTTGGTAATGCTCAATCTCACATAGTATTGGAAACACTATTGGGAATGGTATTTAAGGCTTGGCTTTCCCACTTCCTTGTTGAGTGATAGAGAACAAGGGGGACTCTCGTGCGCCGCCGCCGCCACCGTCCGTCTCGTCTCATCTCGTCTCGGGTTGAGGTCGGGGTCGTGGTCGTGGTAATACGTGTCTTCGACACGTCCGCGCGAATACTATCTTTTTAGAGAAAATTCTTAAGAAACAAATGCAATACCACCAATCGTTGCGATTTTGGACTATCGCAATGAATTTGGAATAAATCGCAATGTGAATATGTAAATCGCAATGCGAACTTCGACTATCGCATTGCGATTTACATATTCGCATTGCAATAGTCGACTATCGCAATGCGAAAATGTAAATCGCAATGCGATAGTCGACTATCGCATTGCGATTTACATATTCGCATTGCGATAGTCCAAGTTCGCATTGCGATAGTCCAAGTTCGCATTGCGATAGTCGAAGTTCGCGTTGCGAATCTGGAAACTGATTTGCGATACCGGAGATCGCGTTGCGAATTATCGATCGCATTACGATTTAGTTGGTCATTTTGGCAAATCCAAAAAAATTGGTTAAAATCATATATTATAAGGCATTTTTGGTCAATGAGGTTATTTTCTCTTAAATTTAATTCAATTCTTAACATTATATATTTAAGATAAAAATAAAATTTAAAATATATTTTAAACATATGAATTTAAGATAATATATATATATATATATATGTAAATTTAGGATAAAAATAAAAACTATTTTTTAATTTTAGTTTGAGTCAAACTATTAGCTTTGGCCTATGATATATATATATATATTAGCCCAGTGTTTGAGTCCATTTTCTTCTCACCAAAGACACCCAAGATTGATTCCCTTGGTCACTTCCATGTGCTTAAATTTTCTTTCCATAAATATATTAAATTTAAATAAATTAATTAAAATAAAAAAAATGCAATTATCAAATTGAATGGTAACACATGGCACCATTCCATTTGAAGGTTAATTTTATTTTAATTTATTAAAATTATGACAAAATTGATAGAATATATAAGAGTGACCAAATATGTAATTATACCAATTTTCTAACTGCCACGCCAGCACTTTCATTAACTGTTAATGACAAGTGATCTGATTGAATGCATTTAAATAATTAAATGGCTTGATTGACAAAAATTCAAAAATAGTGGTCAAAGTGAAAAGGAGCTATAGTTAGGTGGTTACTGTTATAGTTTACCCTTTTATTTTTTAATTAGCATTTAAGGAATATTTCTGAAAAATAGGATAAACTAGTGTTCAATCAACAATTATTTAAATCGTTTTGTTTTGATCACCTGATTATTATTTTTAATTATATCTAATGCTATGTTTTTGTTTCATTTTAATCACATGTTAAAATTTTTAATAGAACTACTGACGCGATATTTTTATTTTATTATGATAATGTGATATCATTTTATAATAACACGTCAACACTACCATTAATTTTTTTAACAGCTGAGGACTTAAATTAAACCAAAATGTAACATTAGGTATGATTATGAAAAAGTTAAAATTAATATAAGGGTAAACTATGGAGTTGGTCATTTGACTATTGAAAAAAGGCACGAACCAATTAACTTCAGTAGTTAAACGAATGTTTGTTATCTCTAAAAGTCTCAAATTCAAGCACTAGAGATTACAAGGATATTTAAGCTTCTATTGTCAAAATGGTTGGAGATTTTTAAAATAAATATTATTTTATAATCACTCTAGATTAATAAAAAAAACTATAAAAAAGGGAAAAATACTTTAAATATCAGTGGACTTTAAAGGTTGACTCATGTATACCACTAAACTTCTAATTTTATTAATTATAGCATTGAACTTTATTTTCCACTTTAATTATGTCACTCCATCATTAAGTCACTAACGACAGGTGACATGACTAACAATTAATGACATGACAACTATACCAAAAAATATATTAAAATTTGAACTCGTCGTGTGAATTGAATCAAAATTTTATGGAATGCTTTGTGTCCCCATAAAGAGTTATAATTATTTGTCATATTTTATGATATTCGTCTTATGGATACAATGAATTCCATATACACTAACAAATTTCCCCTCCTCCTATTTTTTTTCTTTGAGTTTGTGCCATTTTTTTTATAAAATAGATCAATTTTTTCTTCTTTGATTTTGTTTAGTCGGTGACGTCATCGATTTTGATGTTAGTTGTCGATTGTCGATTATCTCTTTTTTTAGCTTTTTTAATAAGAATAATTCTACTTTTGTAGTACATTTTTTTATGGGTTGGATTTGACAACGCCTCGACTTATCAAGATGACGCTTATTTGAAATCTTATTGATCTTTTCATTTATGGAACTTCAAATTAAATCTGGATGCGCGATTTTGCGTTCTTGGATATTACTCGTGACGCTCAACTCTAATTTGCGGTTCTCAATGGTCTTTCAATAGCTTAATTCCTTTTTGTAGTTCTTTTGCCGATGCAATCAGATTTGTTCATATTCAAGGGCGAAACTAAAAATTTATTATAGCGGGGTTAAGATATTTTTTATTTTTCATAAATACAATTTTCTTAATTGAGGGTCTGAAATTTTTTTCTTTATTTATTTTTCAAAAATATATATTTTTAATATTAATCAATACTTAAAAAAATAATTCACGGGGCCAAGGGGCTTTTTGTATCTATTTTTGTATGAGTATTTTAGTTGGATTTTTAACCTTTTTCATATATGATTCTTATATAATCTAAAGTGTCTATTTTCAATGTTATAGAAAAATGCATACTTTTTAAAAATAGATGTTTATATTAAAAAATTACACTAACAAATGACTTAAATTTCAAATTAATTTTATAACACTTACATTTCTCAAAATCTTTTCCGTCATGACTATTTGGCCAACAAAACTAACTCTTGTGCTTATTTTAAAATAAAGAGTAAAATATATTTACTATGTTAATTTCCTACAAACTTTCCACTGTCTTTCTAGTACTATAAAAATTTAGATTTTTCTATTAACACATGTATTAAGAATAAATTGCCTATTTACATTTTATACACCGATTTAATAATTTGTAATTTTATACTTCTTAAAAAAATTTATTTTATAACTAAATTATTTAAGTATTATAATTTAATTATATTATTTTAAT